ACACACCCTTTCCGGCCCTCCGAACACATCTTTGAAATGATTTATTGTTCACTTTTGAACACACACGTTGCTAGGAGGGGGGCAGGTCCAGCCTGGGAGCCTGCTCCCCGGTGCAGCATTTCCGGGCTCCCGGCGAGGGCAAGACCAGCTCATCCTTCTGTGTGTGGAGTAGCGGGAGATTCCCTGAGTAAAGGCGTTTCCTCCGGTGGGACGTGGTGAGGCTTCAGCAGCAGCCCCGGAGCCTCGGGTGGGGGGGCTGCATGTCGGGCTCCAGCTGCCCTTCGGGCCAGGGCACCGCCCACCACCTCAGGAAAGCTGCCTGGCCCCCTTCCAGGCCAGAGACTTCTCCAATTTGGTTTTAAAAAGCAATCCGTGACCTGGCAGAGAAGCAGGAGGGAAGTGGGGCTCAGGAGGCCAAGGGTCCCACTGTCCCCCCGGGGGACCAAGGGAGATGTGCTGACGGCAGCAGGTGCCCCTCACCTGGGCAATCTGCGGCCTCTCTGAAAGCTCGCTTCTTGCAGCAGCCCCGGCACAGGTTGAACACGCATCTGTTGCCCTGGACACAGGAGAGCTGGTGGGCCTGAGCAGGCTCCCCGGGAGCACCAGATGGCTGCACCCCTGGCCAGGGCGCGTCCCGAGGCCGGGCAGAGTCGGCCTCCCCGAGTGGCTAAGCCACTTCAAGCTGTACCCTCGACAGACGGGCAGGGGGCCGCTCCCGCAGGTCCTGGGCAGCCCAGGGACCACCCTGCCCATTACGTGCTGAGGCCGAGCTCTGCTCTGGGCAGCATGGTCAGACTCACCTTTGGGTTTCCACACTGATCACACTTCGCATATTTTGCTGAGAAAAGAACAAAAGCAGACATTGGTTGAGGTGAACCCATCCCCCAACTGCCACTTACACACGGAGTCCCCGGTGGGAGTTCTGCCTGCTGCGGCCAACCAGGCGGTTCGAGGAGGGCGGGTGCAGCAGTCCCTCGTCCCCCCCTCCCCCCCTGGGGCCCCCATGGTTCTCTGGGT